CCGTTGTCTAGACATCCAGCCCTGTCAACGTCAACCTCGCCACCGTTAAAGTCAACAACGCTCCAAGCTGGCGCGGTATTGGCTTCCTCAGTCGTCATGGCAGCTTCCGACGAAGTTCTTGGCTACCTTGCCAAGCAGAGCAACTTGGGTGGCGTCGTCGTACTTGGTATTCAGAGCTCCCTCGACTTTCCAAATCCTTGGTGCTTAAAGCCGCTAACTCCTCCAACTCTTCTTACTAGACTTGCCAAAGCTTGACCTTGGGCTCTATATCCAAAATTATGTCGGTATGATGCGCCCAGGCATAGCAACCATAACAATCCCGTGCCACGAAGTCATGCCTCCCAACCAGTGCTGGGCTAACCTTGGCTAGGCCGAACTCGCTTCGATCGCCTCTTTCTAATCGGCCAGAGCTCCGCGGCGCTTTGTGTTGAGGCTCTGAAAGCTGCTGTTGTCGAGGCCAAGGCAGGAAACGATGTCAACCGTTATCGCGATGCGTGGGATGCTTTAAGAACAGTGGCACCAAATGATCCAGAAGCCCAGAGAGACGATGCGTGGATAGAACGAACGGAGATGGCGAACAAGGCCGAGACGGCAAGGCTCGAGGGTGAGCTGAAAGGATACAGAAACAATCTTATCAAAGAGAGCATCCGGGTTCGCATCCCATGTACCCCCAAACAAGCAAGCATTTGGAAATTGCCGGCATTCATAGAGCTAACCATGGTATCACTATTCAGATGGGTAACGAGGACCTTGGCAAACATTTCGAAAGCATAGGAAGGCTCAATGAAGCCACCGAGGCGTATACCAGGATGCGTCAGGATGTGAGCACCACCAAACATATCGTCGATTGTGGCATGCATCTCGCCAACGTCTCTCTCCACCGTCGCGATTATGCCATGGTATTGAACAACGTTGGTAAAATCACAGCTGTGCAGAACGAGGATGATGAAAGGGCACCGCAGGCATACACAAGAATTGCCTCTGGGATTGCCCTTCTGGGCATGGATCGCTTTGAAGATGCTGCGAAGGCCTTCTTGAGAACAGATTCTACCGTGCCTCCAACGGAATATAGCCATATCGCCAGTCCGAACGACGTCGCCGTCTATGGTGGCCTTCTGGCCCTTGCTACCATGGATCGGAAGGAACTTCAGCACCTAGTATTGGACAACCTGTACTTTCGCACATTTCTCGAACATGAGCCGCATATTCGAAAGGCCATCAGCCTATTTGTGAATGGTCGATATTCGAACTGTCTCTCTATATTAGAGGGTTCCCGGGCAGATTATCTCCTGGATGTTTATCTGCAGAGCCACGTCCCAGCCATCTACTCCAAGATTCGCACGAAGTGTATCGTCCAGTACTTTGTTCCATTTTCGTGCGTTACGCTAGAAAGTTTAGATGCAGCATTTGCGCAGCCAGGCACATCTATTGGTCCCGAGCTAGTAAAAATGATCCGTCAAGACGCATTGAAGGCGCGTATCGATGCGAAAAACAAGGTATGAGAGATTCACGGCACCACATGCAGATCCAAAAATATTATAATAATACTAAGCATCTCCTTTAGCTTCTCGTTGCCGTCCGGCCCGACGCCCGGCTCGTGATGCAGAAAGAAGCACTACTAGTGGCCCGGAATTACGAGCGGGAAGCCAAGGAACGATTGCGCCGTATTAGCCTGATAGCAGCTGAGCTAGATGTATCGGGAGGTAAGAAGGCAATCTCAGGTGGTGCTGCCAGTTCAAGCTTGGATGAGGCTTGGTATGACGAGAATAAGCAATCTTCCCCCCAAAGGGCTGAACTGGAAGCGGCAAGCTGAGGCAGGCAACCAAATAAGCGTAAGCAGCCATTCAAGCGTCAGGAATCCAGTTCCTGTTTGATATTACTCCCCAGAGCTTGTCTCACCAAAATCTCGTACAATGAGACTAGTCTATACCCGCCCAATTGATGCAAGGATGGTGTAATCTTACCCTGAAATAGCCCCCTCTTGTGGCTACGCTCAGCATATGGGCACTGATGGTGTCAGTTCTGGAGGAGCGACTATAACGGCACGATACCTGATACATGAGAGACGATGCATAATGACAAAATCAATGACTTCATATTTGTGTAATAATTTTTGATCCCATTCCCTTTGTTGCAGCAGATCAACAACGCAGCACCGTATTCCGTATCGGACCAACATGCCTGAATGGCTTGCTGGTGGATGACGAGGACATCACATTGATACTTAAATAGAGATGGCACATGTTTGCTAAAATATAATCAATTCTATGGGTATCAATGTGCGTTTTTGCAGTTTACCATATCCGTCATCTAGCTTACTCCATGCTCACCCATACACTACGACTCCCAAGTCCAACTCCATCTATACCGCCCATCCATCCCATGTGTAGTCATAACACACATATGTAGAGGCCGGACTGTCCCACCCACTGATGATTCTTGGACCTTGTTCCAGCTCACCTTCATCCCACGCGGCGCTCAGCCCATCAGCTGTCTCAAATCCGTCGGCGGCCACCTCACTTGGGCAAAGGTAAGACAGCGCTTGATGCTCTGCAAAATCTTGCGCGTAACTTCATCACCCATGACGTGACCCTTCTCGCCGTTGTGCAGCTTCTCGCGAGCGCTTCTCTCGTGGATACCAACCATGGTCACGCCAATGGGCCAGGCGGCCTTGCCAATACTCAAACGGAGATAGTCGTCGTTGGCGTCGACGTAGCGTCTTTCCTGAAGGGCCTGCACGATTTGCACCACCGGTACGAGGAGGGAGTCGTCCACGTCGTTGGATTCGAATTTTCGAAAGAGCTGTCATCTACTTAGCATATTGAAAACTTTACGACTCGCTTGGTGTCCCTCTTTTTTCTTTCAATTTCTTTTGAGTAGAGCAAAGGCAGTCTCTTTACTTACCGGCTTCATATTTTCTCTGGTTTGCACCATGGCGCTGTACGCCGTCTTGCCGGCGCTCGTTTCGCTCTTCTCCTCCTCCATGGTCCTCTCGTACTCTGTGAGCACCATGGTGAAGTAGCTCGCGAGCTGTCTGAACAGCCACTTCCTCCCGTCTCTGTCCGCGGGCACCGTCCCGTCGACCTTCATGTCCTTTTCCTCCACCAGCGCCAGCGTCGTCGGTATGGGGCCCTTGCTCATCACCGTCGTCAACTTCCTGTACCTCCTTAACTTGGCAGCGTGCGATTCCCCGAAAAGCATCACCGGGTGTCCTATTTCTCTCAATTTCTCCCGCAGCTCTTCCTCCGGGACATCATCTTGCACGGCCTGACCTTCGTCTTCCTCCTCCTTCTTTACGAGTTCCGGAAGGCCTAGCCGCTTTCTCCTCGCTCTTTCTTCCTCCTCTTCCCTCTCTTCTCTTAGTTTCCTCGACTCTTCGGCTAGTTTGCGTCTCTTCTCTTCGCGGGCTGCATTCTCCGTCGCCAGCTCCTCCTCTCGTTTGCGCTTGGCTGCTGCTTTCGCTTCGCGCTCCTCCTCGAGGGCCTTTTGCTCTGCTATGTATGCTTTTTTCCGCTCTTCTTCGATTTCAGATCGTTTGAGGTATTTTTTGGACGAGTCGTTTGTTGTTTTGGCCTTGGAGAGCTCCTTGTTCATGAGGGACGCAAAGTCCATTTTTAGTGTTGCGCGGCCGCAAAGCCCGATTTACAAAGCTTGGAGAATTATATCGAGTCGTGGAAAGATTCAATTGAGAGATTGGTTGATTCTGCGGGGCTTTCGCTTGTTTGTAGAGTTTTATGTATGTGATTGGCGATTTTGTCGTGGTCATGAAGGTGTTGGAAGTTGTCTCGAATGTCGTGAGTTCTCCATATCGATTGCGGGTATTTGCCGGATAATCTGCCATCTTCTCACTGTTCTCAGTAGCACAATTGCATCGTTTTCAACTCCCGATGCACATCTGCGAATAATGGTGACATGACTATCAGTCGTGGAGAATCTGTTTCTTTTTCTTTGTCGCATGGTGGTTATCGTATCTAGTCATGTCTGTGGCTTCAGATGATGGGGACCGTGACCCCCCTGCGCCTTTTCTTGTTCAGTTGTTTTATCGAAATGGAGGCTTTTACAGGTGAGAAGCGCAGCGCGAACTGCTCATGTTTTATTTGATGGAGTGGATCTTGATGATTTATATCTTTTGACTAGGGCGGATGAGTTTGCAACCCGTTCACTTCCACCACACATTTCAGTTTACACTTGGCCAAGTTGCACCTTAAACGAGCTCGCTCTGGAGCTGGCGGCTGCCAAACCATCAGCCCTCCCATACCCAGCTATTGGAACAAGACTGTCTTTCCAATTAGTATGTCCTGACTTACGCGGAATCGGCTCAGTCAACAATGCCCATCCACGCTACGCTATGAAAGACCTCGGCAGCATAGTCATTGGACAAAACACTCCTGGAACCACCGACCCCGAGTTGGCTGAAGTCGGAGGAGGTGCTTCCCGCGGTGCGTCAAACCCGGATAAGACGCTTGGGGAAGCCCGATTCGTGGTGGGGGACTACATTTCGTGCGCTATCTTACCCCCATTGGATGATGGATCTGTGGCACCGGCATCTGCTGCTAGGAGGGACGTAACTGCAGGGCATAGAGAAAGCAGGGGGGGCAGAAGCAGTGGTGGAGGACCAGGTTTTCACAATCGAGAGAATGGTTTCGGTCGAGGCAGCCGTGAGGGCAGGGGAGGAAGAAGGGGAGGTGGAGGGCCAGGAGCAAGCATGCCAATGGGAGAATGGAGGAGAGGGGAGAGATTGCCGGATATGCCTCCTTCCAGACCACGAGGCGGCGGCGGTGGACGATGGTGAACAGTTCATTTGGAGCATGGCCAGTCCCTCCGTCTGGTTTAACTAGCGACCTTGTAATTACTCAATATACCCAACGCATGAAGGCTAACCAACAGTCAATTGTCACTGCAAACGAGCCCTTCGAACTTCACGTCAAACGGAAGTGTCTATACCGGCCCCAGAACCAACTATGTACATCCTTTAATACATTCATCGCGACCCAGATCATCTATCGCTCGTAGATGGTATCGCCCCGTCTCTTTGCGCGAAAATTGTAGAGGCCCTATAACAAAATCAGCTTTTTCTTCTCGCACCCTACCGTGGGATCAACTCGACCGAATTATCTACTCACGTCGGTCTTGTAGGCGACATAGCCGAATATGGCAGGCACAACAGCCACATACATAAAGGTGATTCTAGCTGTTCGCGGAGTCCATCGGAAAAAGTGGTGTCGAGTCTTTTGCATAGCTATTTCACCTTCGTTAGAACCCATAAATACCAACGTTCGAAGTCGGGGATCCCACACACCCTGGTGCTTGAGGTAAGCCGGGTCCGGCTTTACGTCTATCACGCGCATCGAGTTAGCTTCTGAATTATAGGAATCAATCTAAATTTGTTTGGACCTACTGAGGTGCGCCATCTTATCTGGCCGGCCGAGTGGCGTCTCTCGCGGTGAATTGATGGAACTAATCGTCGTCGCGATGGGAGTGCTTGAAGTTGGTTGCTAGGATTGTGGTGGTCAAAGATGATGCGGGTTAGGTAATAATCAGGCTTGTTTTGATTGGCTGATGGTCGGTACATGGTTGTACCAGTACCCTGGAGGTTAGCCACTTGCAGAGATGAACTCGGAAAATGTACACTGCTCTTCAAGCTCTTAGTCGCAGTGGGAGGTAAGGTTAACCGTATTATTCACTGGAAGCTTTTTTTTGCTTTTGGTATTAGTTGTTTGAAATTAAATTCCGTGTCTTCAGTTAGTGTTGATGATGACTGTAAAGTAGGCAACAATTCTAAGAAGCACTCAACGGACTCTGCGAGAATCCCAAGGGATCAATGCGTCACATTTCAACCAGTTATTATTTTTGGAATCGGGTACAGAAAGGACAAAAAAAATAAACAAACAACACACAAAATTTATGACAATATACCTGAGACTTCTTTTTAAAACAGCGTCACGAAACTTGTGGTTTTTCATGAAAGCAATAATGCGCTCGAAAATCACGTGATCCAATTTATGGGTCTGGAGCTAAGAGCTTGACGGCAGAAAATTGTCGTGACAGAGGCGACATCTTTCACCTTGTTGGAGAACGCCGCTTTGGTCGCCAACGTGCCATCTTGCGAATTCGGCATCCTATTTCTTGAACAGGATATCGCGAGCTGTACTGTTTTTTATTGTTTCTGTTCGAAGATAGGGGTGAAAACAGAATAAGCGTGTCGAGACACGCGCCTCAGCGTGCAGCCTCCTCGACCGGCACACCATCGCATATTCACGAAGCGACATCACCTCATCACGTCGCGATTTCATCATGTCGGGCATCCCTCCGCCGCCGCCTCCAGGCTGGGGAGCAGCCCCCCCTCCTCCTCCACCACCTCCCCAATCATCGTTGCCTCCTCCTCCTGATACACCCGCGCCGCCAGCTCCTCCGCCCCCTGGCTATCACCCTCCGTCCGACCCTCAGATCGCCAAGTTTGCACAAAAGAAGAAAGAATGGCTTAGGGATCGCCGAAACAGATTTGGAGAGAAGCGAAAGGCCGGCTTCGTCCAGACTCAGAAGGCTGATATGCCGCCCGAACATCTTCGCAAGATCGTTAAAGATATCGGAGATGTGTCTCAAAAGAAATACACCAATGACAAGCGCAGCTATCTTGGCGCTCTAAAGTTCATGCCACATGCAGTCCTGAAGCTTCTCGAAAATATGCCTATGCCCTGGGAATCAGCGCGTGAAGTCAAGGTTCTGTATCATGTCAACGGATGTCTGACCTTAGTTAATGAGACTCCTCGCGTTATTGAACCCGTCTTCTTTGCGCAATGGGCAATGATGTGGACCTTCATGAGGAAAGAAAAAGCCGATAGAAGGCTTTTCAAGCGTATGCGATTCCCGCCATTCGACGATGAAGAACCGCCCCTGTCGTGGTCCGAGAACATCGAGGACGTGGAACCTCTAGAGCCTATTCAAATGGAGTTGAACGATGAGGAAGACGAAGCCGTTTATGAATGGTTCTACGACCATCGCCCACTATTGGATACCTCGCATGTTAATGGTGCGAGCTACAAGACATGGAACCTCACCCTACCTCAAATGGCAGCTTTGTTCCGTCTCAGTCGTCCATTGATTTCTGACGTTGTAGACAAGAACTACTTCTACCTTTTCGACCTCAAGAGCTTCTTAACTGCAAAGGCTCTCAATGTTGCGCTTCCAGGTGGACCGCGTTTCGAGCCGTTGTACAAGGATATCGATCCAAACGAGGAGGACTTCGGCGAGTTCAATGCTATAGATCGCATCATCTTTCGAACTCCGATCCGTACTGAGTTCCGAGTCGCGTATCCATTCCTGTACAATTCTCTCCCAAGAAGCGTACACCTGACGTGGCACTCGCACCCACAAATCGTATTCAACCGTGCTGACGATCCCGACTTGCCAACTTTCCTTTTCGACCGACGAATCAACCCCATCTCATCCCGAACCGTGGCGCCCAAGAATGTTGAAATCACTCTTGAGGACGAACTTTTTGGACCAGGAAATAATGAAGAGCCTGAGGAGGATGCGTTCGAGCTGCCTGCTGCGGTTGAACCCTTTCTTGCCGACGAAGAGCTTGAAAACCAGCATACATCCTCAGCCATTGATTTATGGTGGGCTCCTTTTCCGTTTGATAGACGCTCTGGAAAGATGGTTCGCGCTCAGGATGTGCCTCTGATCAAGCAATGGTACTTGGAGCACCCGCCCTCCGACCGACCTCCTGTGAAGGTTCGAGTTTCTTACCAGAAGTTACTGAAGAACTTCGTTCTCAATGAGCTTCATAAGAAGAAGCCCAATGCACACAATAATCAGAACTTGTTACGCTCTCTTAAACAGACTAAGTTCTTTCAACAAACAAGCATTGATTGGGTTGAAGCTGGCCTTCAAGTCTGCCGGCAAGGTTTTAATATGCTTAACCTCTTGATCCACAGAAAGAACCTGACATATCTTCACCTGGACTACAACTTTAATCTGAAGCCTGTGAAGACACTCACAACCAAGGAGCGAAAGAAGTCTCGATTTGGAAATGCATTCCATCTTATGCGTGAAATTTTGAGGTTGACAAAACTGATTGTGGATGCCCAAGTTCAGTACCGTCTTGGAAATATTGATGCCTTCCAGCTTGCTGATGGCATTCATTACGCTTTCAACCATGTTGGACAGCTCACCGGAATGTACCGATACAAATACAAGCTCATGCATCAGATTCGTACTTGCAAGGATTTGAAGCATCTGATTTATTATCGATTCAACTCTGGTCCAGTGGGCAAAGGTCCTGGCTGTGGTTTCTGGGCTCCCTCATGGAGAGTGTGGCTCTTTTTCATGAGAGGTATCATCCCATTACTCGAACGATGGCTTGGTAACCTCTTATCTCGTCAATTCGAAGGTCGACACAGCAAGGGTGTGGCAAAGACAGTCACGAAGCAGCGAGTCGAGTCTCATTTTGATTTGGAATTGCGCCAGTCTGTCATGTCTGATCTGATGGACATGATGCCGGAGGGTATTAAACAAAGCAAGGTCAGCATTGTGCTTCAGCATTTGTCTGAAGCTTGGCGTTGCTGGAAGAGTAACATCCCCTGGAAGGTCCCGGGCCTGCCTGCGCCGATTGAGAACATTATTCTTCGATATGTCAAATCAAAGGCTGACTGGTGGATTTCTGTTGCTCACTACAACCGTGAACGAATTCGTCGTGGAGCAACCGTGGATAAGACTGTCGCGAAGAAGAATGTTGGACGTCTGACTCGACTATGGCTCAAGGCTGAGCAAGAAAGACAGCATAATCACATGAAGGATGGCCCATATGTGTCTTCCGAGGAAGCCGTCGCCATTTATACGACTACTGTTCACTGGCTGGAGTCTAGGAAATTTTCTCCCATTCCATTCCCCAGCGTTTCGTACAAGCATGACACCAAGATCTTGATCCTGGCCTTGGAGCGTTTGAGGGAGGCTTACTCAGTCAAGGGTAGACTGAACCAGAGTCAACGTGAAGAGCTGGCATTGATTGAGCAAGCTTATGACAGCCCCGGCACCACATTAGAAAGAATTAAGCGGTTCTTGCTCACGCAGAGAGCTTTCAAAGAAGTCAATATTGATATGAACGATAACTACAGCACGATCAATCCTGTATATGATATCGAGCCCATAGAGAAGATCAGCGATGCTTATCTTGATCAGTACTTGTGGTATCAAGCTGACCAGCGACATCTGTTTCCCGCCTGGATCAAGCCATCAGACTCTGAGGTGCCACCGCTGTTGGTCTACAAATGGGCCCAGGGCATTAACAATTTGAGTCAAGTTTGGGAGACAGAAGATGGAGAATGCAACGTAATGGTTGAAACTGAGCTTTCCAAGGTCTACGAAAAGATGGAATTGACGCTTCTCAATACCCTACTGAGACTCATCATGGACCATAACTTGGCTGACTACATTACTGCCAAGAACAATGTGCAACTGACATACAAGGACATGAATCACGTCAACAGCTATGGTATGATCCGTGGTCTTCAGTTCTCAGCCTTCGTATTCCAGTTTTATGGCTTGGTCTTGGATCTGCTCTTATTAGGACCTCAGCGTGCCAGCGAGATTGCTGGCCCTCCCCAGAGCCCCAACGATTTCCTGCAGTTCCGTGATCGAGAGACAGAAACAAGGCACCCAATCAGACTCTACAGTCGTTACATTGACAAGATCTGGATCTTTTTACGATTTACCGCCGAAGAGTCCAGAGATCTTATCCAACGCTTCCTCACTGAGCAACCTGATCCTAACTTTGAGAACGTCATTGGATATAAGAGCAAGAAGTGCTGGCCGAGAGACTCTCGTATGCGTCTGATGAGGCATGATGTCAACTTGGGACGTGCAGTCTTCTGGGACCTCAAGAACCGCCTGCCGCGTTCAGTCACCACCATTGACTGGGATGACAGCTTTGTCAGTGTCTACAGTCGTGATAACCCGAACCTGCTGTTCTCCATGTGCGGATTTGAGGTTCGGATTCTACCAAAAATCCGAAATCAGAATGATGAGTTCCCCGTCAAGGACAGCGTCTGGTCTCTCATCGACAACACCACCAAGGAGAGAACGGCACATGCTTTCTTGCAGGTCACGCAGGAAGACATCCAGAAGTTCAACAATCGTATCCGACAGATACTCATGTCGTCTGGCTCAACAACCTTCACTAAGATTGCAAACAAATGGAATACCGCACTGATTGCTCTCTTCACCTACTATCGTGAAGCAGCAGTCTCTACGGTTGATCTTCTTGATACCATTGTCAAGTGTGAGACGAAGATTCAAACCCGTGTCAAGATTGGACTTAATTCCAAGATGCCGTCTCGTTTCCCTCCAGCTGTTTTCTACACTCCCAAGGAACTTGGTGGCTTGGGCATGATTTCGGGCTCCCATATCTTGA